GGATTTTTCTCCTTAGGAAGTGCCTTCTGCAGCTGAGGGTTGTAATCCTCAGGGTGATGCTGATGAGAAATGTTGTACATATTTGAATAAAATCTCAAGCATTTGTTTATGCCAAAGACTCTTCTCGATGGAAAACCACCAGCACTTTCCTTTGAATGTTTTGGACACAGTGCAGGATTATTTTAGGGACTTGGAAAGTGCCAAACTGGCCTCATTAGAAACTGAAGCTCATGAATGATTCCACTCGAGTAAAGGTCATGGAAGTGAAGGGATGGCAGATGGAACTGGGAGCCCTAAGACCTAATAGGGTCAATTTCCAAACTGTTTTCTGGGAAAAAATCCTGCGAAAAAGGAGAGGAATTTTAGCCAGGAGGAAGGGGAATGGGAATATATGAGAGCCCTCTCATTCTGGGATCTGAATGTAGCTGGATTAACAGCAATCTGCACTGATGGCAGTCCTTGCCAGCATTGTCTCTGCTGTACTAAATTGGGTTTGGTTTGGCACAAGCTGTGCTTAGTGCAAATCCATCACTTCCAGCTCCTTCTCCACTTGCTCTGTGCTGGAAGGAGGACACAACATCTGGGAGCCCTTCCACACACTCCAGCCTCCAGCTGGGACTGCAGGTAAGTCTAGAGAGCAGAAAAATACCTCTTCCTGAGTACACCATGACTGGGCACAACGCTGAAGTATTGACAGTCATTGCTGCACTCTGAGAAGAGGAAAGAGGAAGGATTGGAGGGAGCTCAGAGTCTTCTGAGCTGTGTGATAAGAGCTGTGAGTGGCACTGGGGCTGTGAGGCTGAAAGGAACCTGAAGGAGAAGGTGAGCAGCAGTTCAGTGGCTACAAACAAGGAGCTATTTCCTCTCCCAGTTTCTTGCTGGGGATGTTCTCCATGTCCAGCCCCAGGCAGCTGCAGCACAGGCCGTGCAGCAGAAGCTGTTTCAGGCATGGTGCAGTGTAGTCACAATCTCCTGGGCTGGAAGGGACCCGCAGGGATCATCCAGCCCAACTCCCAGCCCTGCACAGGACACCCCAACCATCCCACCATGTGCCTGAGAGCCTAGTCCAAAATTCTCCTCTGTATGGAAAAAAAAGATTTACAATTGCCAGGAGGGTTTAGAACTCCACAACAGCACATTGTTTGTTTTTGCAGGGCCTTCAGCAGGGCTGGTTGGAACAGTGCAGCACTCTGTTCTGTGCTGTGGAAGATTGTTCCGAGCAGATAAGTGCTATCAGCTCGCTGGCTGGAGCCACAGCAGCTGCTGAGGGCTGCAGGACACAGGGCTCGCTGTGCTCTCCAGTTTGAGGCTGGAGATCAAGGACTAGATACCGCTGGAGGGGGTGGGTTTGTAATCCACACTTTCACTCAGACAGGTCCCACCAAACCTTGCAGTCAGCCTGAAAACAAGGAATGCAGGCCCCAGGAAACTGATCCCCAAACTGTTCCCAGGAGGGAAAGGGGAGGGAGATTGGATCCTTGGTCTGACAGGGTGGTTGGCAGGATGTCTTCTGGGGGAGAAAACCTGAGCAGCCTCTAAACAGGACGAGGGATTGCACAATCCAGGCTGTGCTCTCTATCCAAGGTACAGGATCTCAGAGCTGCTCTCCTGTAGGAGCAAGGATTAGAGGCCACTCAGCTTGGAAACTGCCTGTGACAAACAGCTGCAATGCTTTGGGAGGTTTCTGTGATGGCAGAAGGGACACCAAATTATTAACCCTAAGAAGAACTATGTGGTGATCTCTGTTGTTAAACTAACCTCACAGCCACGTGCAAGTGCCCAGAGCAGGAGGAAGGCACAGGTTAGATGAGGAGCTAACACTGCAACTTGTCAAGGCAACACAGGGAAACACCAAGTAAGAGTTTGTTTAGCAAATAGCAAAAAATAGCAGCAAAATGTCCTTTATCCCTTGACAGTATCAGGTTCATCCCAGAGTGGAATTGTCTCATTCCAACCCCCTGCCAGAGACAGGGAACCTGCCACTAGATGTGGTTGCTCCAAGCCCCATCCTTGGATTAATCTGATCAGATTTCAACAGGGAAATAAATCTCCAAACTTGAGTACTGCATACTGCAGTATTAATAATCATGACTACACTTTGAGAGTAGAGCTCAGAGGTCTGAGCTGTCTGACTCCTTGTGAAGGAGCAGAGTGGCAGCTCAGTCTTCTGGGTTTAAATCAAAGTTGTCTTTGATTTGAGAAGAAACAAAGCTCCCACTGGCTGCAGAACAGCTGATCCCTGAGATGTGCTGCCCTGTGTGTGTCTGGTGTCAAAGGGTGTGAGAGCAGGTGAAAACCAAACGGTGCAAACAGCCACGATGACACAGTGTGGAATCAATCAACACCCGCAGTGCAGTTTATCTTGGATACCCAAACCAGCCCTGTGTGAAGCTTCTTGGTTTGGCCTCCCCAGAAAGGAAGTGATGTGCAGCTGCAGAACATACCTGCCTGGAGCATCCCTGGTGGGAGGAGGTGCTCAGGAAAGCCATGCACAGGTGTTAGAGCAGTACAAGGATGATGCAAAGAAGATGCAATGACCTTCTCAGTGTGCTGGGAAAGGCCTTGCTCAATGCTCTGGAATCGTGCAAGCAGGTCAGTCAGCAGCTGACAGGAACACTCATGCATCTGTCAGCTGCTCAGCAAGGTAAAACTGCCAATGTGCTGTGGCTCAGATGGACTTTTGTGTTTCTACTTGGGGTCAATAACAGTCATTTATGTTTGTGGAACAAAAAAGGTTAATCACAAGCAATTAAGAAAATAATTTAATGGATTTTAAGCAGCTTAATTCTTGCAAAGGTCCCTTGGTGTCATTTTCTTGTGCCATTTTCAGTGACTGTTCTCACTGTTGTCACACGTCCTTTCCATGGACTCTTTCTGAAAGGCAGAGAGAGCAACACACAGCAAAGAGGAAAACAAGGCAAAGCCACCAGGCCTGGCTTAGGAACTCATTCTGGAACTCCAGTAACCCCTTCTGCCATCCACCTGGAAGTGTCTCCAGGGTGTTGCAGGAAGTTACTCTCCAAACCTTTGTCTTCTGCTGCTACACAAACCCCTGTGTGCTTCCATGGTGGAACACAAAGTTTTATTTAACAGAAATCTGACTGCTAGAGAACATCATCTCTTTGAGGTATGCCCAGGGCTATGGAGAACTCCCTGGTGTGGAAAAGAGGGAGCTGTCCCAAGGCAAGAAGGAAGCACATGTGCGGGACCCACAGTAACAAGGTTTTCTCAGCCTGTTCTCTTCCTCCAAGGGTTTGTGTTCTCTGCTAGTCGCTGGTACATTGTGGAACCTTCCAGAATAATCAAAGCAAAGCTCCTCTCCAGCAGAAATATCCGTGGCTGCAAAGAGTGCCAGTCTGGGCACCATGGAGTCAACTCGAACTGGCACCATCAGCAGGTTTGGCTCACAGGAGTGGTTGAGGAACCTGCCCACGTTCCCCACGCGCGTGGGGTCCACGAAGGTCTCCAGGACCCTCCCGTCGTGCAGGTGCTCCCTCACTGCCAGCAGGTAGTTTGAATCCTCTGCTGTCTGGGCCAGAATCCTCCTCTGTGCCTCCTGGAAGCCCAGAACCTCTCCAGCATACTCACACACGAACCTGCCCCGGGGGATGTGCTCCAGGGCGCGGACGCCCCAGCCCTTCCTGTCGGTGGGGAACACCTCGAGCCGCAGCTGCACACCCCTCTGCACCACCCTGTTCTGGCAGGACTCGCTGCACTGGCACAGGCTGTTGCACTCAAACACGGGCCTGGAGTAGCCCTGCTCCTGCTGCTGGGGCAGCCTGAGGCACAGGCTGCTGTAGCTGTGCCCCCGTCGCAGGCAGGAGCAGCTGGGAGCGGCGCAGGATCTGCGGCGGCACGAGCATCCCGGGAAGGTGATTTCAGTGGGATCGACCTCTCCGTCGGCTCCGGCCACGCTGTCCGGGCTGTACTGCAGAGAGAAGCACACAACAGTCAGGGCTGTCACTGTGGGCCCACACATGTGCTTCCTTCTTGCCTTGGGCACAGCTAAAGGAGATATATTTAACACAGCTAAATGAAACTGTGTGTTCCACCCTGGAAGGACATGTAGGATCGAGGAGCAGCTAGAGGTAAAGGTTTGGAGAGGAGCTTCCTGCAGCATCCTGAGACCTCTCCAGGTGGATGGGTAGTCAGGGACCTCTGGTGCTCGTGCAGTCCAACCCCTCTGCCCAGGCAGGGCACTGACAGCAGGTGACACAGCAGTGCATCCAGGTGGGCTTGGAGTGTCTCCAGCCAGGGAGACTCCACCACCTCCTTGGGCAGCTGCTGCAGTGCTCTGCTACCCTCTCTGTAAACAACAAGAGCCAAATTCTTGCCACGATCGATGCTCAAACATTCCCATTCCTCTACAATGCCAACACACCATGCCATTTGGGAAGGTTTGGATTACATTTTTAGTATTAAAAGATTCTTCACCCATTTTACTAAAGGCTCTCAGATACCCCTGGGGCAAACCCCTGGGCACCGTGTAGTGATGGGACAGGGGGGAATGGCTTGAGACTGAGAGGGGATTTAGATGGGATATGGGGCAGGAATTGCTCCCTGTGAGGTGCTGAGGCTCTGGCACAGGTTGCCCAGAGCAGCTGTGGCTGCTCCATCCCTGGAGTGTTCCAGGCCAGGTTGGATGGGGCTGGAGCAGCCTGGGCTGGTGGGAGGTGTCCCTGCCCAGGGCAGGGTGGGATGGGATGAGCTTTAAGGTCCTTCCAACCCAAACCATTCTATGATTAGGTTGAGTAAGTTTCAAACCAACCTTAGCAGT